ATGAAACAAAGAAAATAAACGTGATCACACAAGGAATTAGTTTTCCTCTCCACCCTTTCCTCACTATAAGAACATAATATTATTTTGGGTTTACGTGAGGTATCGCACCCTGGACAACATGGGTTCATTTCGTCCAACAGGAATCTCTTTACTTCTAACGTGCTACTGAATATGGAGTAGATGAAAAAAAGGCCTTTTTTAAATTTGATTTTTTTAAGCAACTGCATTAATCAAAAATGAAAAAAATGGCGAATTAAAAAAACACCTGAAATTGAAACACAATCACAAAAGCTGTTAACAAGACAACAATTACCCCTTGGGATTGATATGCCTGATTGCACGATGACTTCGCTTTCTTTTCCCCCCAGAGCGACAAAAATCTGGCAGAAACGTCCATCAACATTCGTCTGCAAGAGCCAAATCCCATCCAGATCAATTTTACGAGTGACTACCCCATGGCACGGTCCGTGGCTGCTTGAGAGCCCGTAAGCGTTTGATCAGCGAGTCAGGGAAAAAAGATTCCAACAAAATAAACTCGTTTAGATTAATCGCTGTCCCTGCTCGACAAGTGGTCAAGCAAAGGTAAGACTCATAAAAAAAGAAAGAATTCAACCAAATAAAAAGCTGTTGATATCCCACCGTTTGCCGAACATTCAGGGCCCCCGGTTGACTGCGCTAGAACTACAGGTTCAGTGCAGATCTCTCACTGGGCGAGGAAACCGTTGTCACAAGTTTAAATCCAGAAACAGTCGCGGCAGGATCAAAGAGAATCTATTGACTGAACAAGCATCGAGTCTTCATTCAGCCAACTTTTCACTGACTGTTTGTCAAAATCTATTGTGTCGTAAATTCATGAGAACCTGGCATAATTTGTCTCTGCCACTGTCTGCTGGTCATGAAAGTGATCTCCTTGCCCACTTTGCAACTTCCGCTTTTTAAGATTCAATATCGCGTGATTTTGCCACTAGCGTGTGTTTCAGTTCGTCGCGTTATTTTAATTTTGTCTCTTGAAAGGGAATCACTTGCTTATAGTTTTTTCCTATGGTACTTACTGTGAAGAGGAACAACTATGACTGAAATGTGAAACGGACACAAAGCAAAAACATAAAACGGAAATACCGGGCAGGCAAAACAAATTTTCGGGAAAAATATAAAGGATAGCTGAGCATTTTGAATTATCACGGTCTCCGATTTGAACGAGTTTCGAATCGGATATGATCAAGACATCGATCCAAATCAACAAAATGTGCACAAACAAATGCTTGGATGATGAGAAACTTATCTTTCAAATAATGGCGCCTAAAAATAGTAATGAACGAAAGAACAGTTTAAAAAATGAGACGATATGCCTCACTGGGCAATTGATTATCAGGAGAGACAAGAAGGAGAGTCGTCCCTCTCCTATGTTCACTCACACGTCACCCACTCAAATGTGTTCAAAATAAGACAGCCAATTTTATGCTCTGTCACCTTTAAAGACTGCTCCTTTTTTCTTGGCCGTTTAATCACGAATTTGACTGACAATTAAAAGAAATTTTGACCCAAAAAAGAATTAATCGATTTAAAGCTTTGAAGTCATTTGAACAAAAAAGAAGATAGACAAAAGAACTTGATTATTCGAACCACAGAAATATTCCGACAAAATGAGAGGAAATCAGAGATTAATTTATTCGATTTACACTGTTATCACATCGTGTAAAGTAACGTTGCTGAGTAGAATACAATACTAATATACATTTACTAGTTTAGCAGTTACCTCCACCGAATGGAGAACTGGAAAAGTTACAATATGATCTGATTTACATTAACCTCATAAAGCAGAATGTGACTGTTACCAGCAAGATTTTAATCACCATGTTTTCGTTTTTGCTTTTTTCATTTTAGATTCTCTTGTTGTACCTCTGGTACATGTGGAGCTGCGTGGTTTTGGCATCTTTGCTTTAAAAGCTTAAAGATAAACGAATTATCCATTTCATTTCAAAATTATGATGCAGAACCCCATTTCATTGCTACGAAACTGGGTGTCTTTGCCTTCTTTTTACCCTCCCTCTCCCCTCATTTGGACCCTGTCTTTTATTCCTCTCTATTCCCTCTGTATAACACACACACACACACACACACACACATGCATACACAAACACACACACACATGCATACACACACAAACACACACACACACACACACACACACTGACATCCTCACGCATTACCCACACAATAACGAACCCCCGGAAAGTACTCAAATTCCTCTGTTCTCCGAATCAAAGCGAAGCCAACAGCAAACAAAATATATTGTGTATTTAGCCATAGTTCCATTCACAATTTCAAAACCAAACAATCAATATGATACACATGCACAAATTAAGTTTGAAGTAGCTGATTTCTTTCGTGTTAGCGATTATGATAATAATAATAATAATAATAATAATAATAATATATGTATAATATCAATAACATCATTATCAGACAGTTTTTCAGAAACAAATAAATTGCACATGAGTTGTTTTCGTCAGATAAAAATACATATGCATAATTGAAAAGCATGGAACAAAAGTTACAATAAACGACGACTTTGTACCTTTGTCAAAGTTCAGTTATATCGCTGGCAAAAATATTATTATACAGTGTGTCCTGTCAAAGACACAGAAACTACTGAATGATTTTTTCAAGTGCAAAAATAACCTGACATGCTGAAACAAATCGGGTCAGACACCTCAAACAGTACATCATTGGTAACGTAAGGCCAGCTTTGTTTGCAGAGTTGAATATTGTACCACAGTTGTAATACCCTTCGCAATAAACGTCTATAGTGCCAATATAAACAGATTCGGCATTCAAATCAGCATGTAATACAGCACGCAATCACTTATTCATCAGGATAATGCTCGAGTGTTTTTTTAAAGACAGTATAATTCAGTTTAATAAAAATGTTCAGGAGAACACAAAAAACCCCAAAGTTGAAAAAAATAACCACATCTTTGCCTCTAAACAGCTTTGAATATCCCCGACACACTTTCCCCTCCGTATTTAGTAAAATCTCGATACCAGACTAAGACAGAAGCATGCACCGTTTTGATTTTATCAGATGGAATCGATAACTCTGTTTGTTCGAAAACTGAAATATACTGTCTTTTAAAATAAAACTCCAGAATGATAGGCCACTGTGCAAGCTCTCCATTAACATGGATTGATATGGTAAGAAAGCACAGGCCGGCCAAGATACACATGTTGTATTTTCTTTAAAACGATTATATATTCAGTTTTGATGATAAATTAAATTATAATATTTTGGACATAGTATTATGCTATTACTAAATCTGTAATTCACAAGTACATTGTACTACAGATAGAGTTTCGTCATATGACTGAGGTAGTTTGACTTGAATGAAATCTTCTATCTTTTGGGCTTCGGTTTGGTTTATTTTCTGAAAAATACCACCTTTCCTGTTTTTCCATTTGAGAATAGGAATTTGTAAGTATAATTATGTGGTCACTTACAATTTTAGAATCAAAATCATAGCTATTTCATGCATAGTATCTTAAGGTTAGCAAAGTCATAATTGATTAAAGATACCATATCAATTTACTGTAACGATACATTAATTATGTATTTTTACGCATGAAGTAGAAGTCAAAACGTTTTCATTTCTCTTCAAAATTACCAGAGCTTTATCTTTTGTCCCGTCAACTCCTGAATTCCCTACTTCTTGCTCCAAAATTAAAAATATTATAACAATACATCGATTTACAGCTGCCACATTCATTTGACATTATATAAGCAGCTTTCACATGCACAACCCACACCTTGCAGGGGCAAACCACTACGTCAGTATGATATCTTTACAACAGTAATCGCAGACCAAATATACCCAATTTCCCCTGATTCAAATATCATTTTTCTTCACGCTTGTGGCTAGACAAGGTAAAGGAAAAACGGACAAAAATAAAAGCATTTTAAACTTTTCCACAGAGACAATGATGACAATAATAAACAAGCAAATAAATGCAAACTGAGGTTTGAACTGCTTTACCCTGCACGCGGAACACTTTGCGACAAGTGACTGATGAATCGTGGTCACACACACCACGATGTCTCCCCACAAGCGGAGCGCTTGCGCATAGAGCGGCGACTGGCTGTTACTTCCGTCCTGATGGGGGAGGAGGAAAAGGGCTTGATATTTTTCCGCCCATGGTAACAACAAAGTCATAAATAGTGGCAGCAACTAGGTCGTCTTAGCCGTCCTATTTATTGTTTGCTGAGCACAACACCGATTCTGACGTCACCCAAAGTGTTTTACAGTGGTTCTAGGTTCTATCGTCGTGTCAAGCGTCTGATAGATTTGTTACACACAATCACATTATAGTCTCGCCTTCCACCAGTCAGGGCGACGACACACTACATTTCAATTCATAATAATGATGTACCCGACGAATGTTCGAGAAACAAATGCATGTCGAAGCTTCAGTTGAAGTTGAACATGGCTCACAAGTTTGCGATATCACTTGGCTGCATAAACCAACCGAGTATTGAGTTGAGTTATAATAATTTTAGTACATAAAATAAAAACTTTAGTTTCAAGTAAAGTTGCTCTAAACATGGAGGAAAAGAAACAAGTGAGAAAGTATTTTTTCTAACTTCGATTAAAGTCAACCTTGTCGAGCTTTTTTTCAGAGAGAGGGAGAGAGAGAGAGAGAGAGAGAGAGAGAGAGAGAGAGAGAGAGAGAGAGAAAGAGAGAGAAAGAGAGAGAGAGAGGGAGAGAGGGAGAGAGAGAGGGGAAGAGTGAGAGGGAGAAAGAGAGAGGGGGGGGGGGGGGGGCGGAGCGAGGGGTAGGGGGGCTCCTTGAATTAACAGAAATGTTCAAACTTCACTGAGACGACTCAAATCAAGAACCAGAGAGATACAAAGGTTCTAACATAGCGTCAAACACAGATCTGAGCTATGTGTCACTCAGCACAGCAAATTACAGACTGCTTTCATGTTTTTGTTGTTTTGGTGTTCTTTTTTGTTTCTAATCGTGGATTCCATACGATCCAATTGTTTATGTCTACTTTCTGAATTTCAGAATCTGATTTCCGGTTCCAACTGCAGGTTTCCCGTTGTTTGGACACATGTGGAACAGTCCGACACTATAGGAACGATTGGTCATCGTTTGACATCTGCAAGACCTCGATGCACAAGAACAGTTTTGATCAGTTATGCAAACTCGGCATCGTCGATGTGTACTCACATACTTCTTGGCAAAGTTCCAAACAACAGAGTTTATGTCCGTGCACCGCACTTTTCGATGCAATCAGTTGAATTGGTTCTGTGTAAACGCTGGAACCGCATAATCAATCACCACTGTAGTCTGACCATTCTGTATACCCGTTTCACATTTCATTAGAGATATCTTTTACAATGAATATACTTTACGTATAGCATAGTTTTATTCATAAAAAAACAAAAGACACTCTTTGAAACCCTTCAGTCTGTACCGCTCAGCACTATCCTGAAGCTGGAGCGGCAACTTTCTGCACACGAAGAAAACAAACAAACTCGAAGAGCTTTTGTAGATGTTGCATTCACACACCTCTCGTTATTTCTGCTTTTGAGTATAAGCAAGTTTGTAAAAAGTGTGTGAGGCTAAAAGCTCTTTCCAAGAATCGTTCTTGTTCTCTCGACCAGTTTCACTTGAGGAAGTTGACTGTATCTAGCCTCTGAGGTTAAGCCAAGAATTTTGTTTTCTGTTCAAGCTAGAAGAACGCAATCCCCGATTGTCGTATTGTCACCAGCCGTAGACACGCAGCTTGTCACTTTGAAGAGAGTGTCAAGATATGTCTTTACTTTCTCCAGCCAAGACAACAAGAGTCTGTTTTATGTCGGGACAATTCAATCATCTACTTCCTCCGTTTCAAGCAGAGAGGAACTGTGCAGTCAAAGGTACTTGTTCAAATACAGAGGGCACAACATAGTAACCCCAGTCTGCCTTCTTGGAACAAACCAATTACATCCTTCATTCTCGCTACTAGAACACCACATCGGCTTCTCCAGTTACCGGTCACCAAATCTGGTCTGCTGTTGCAACTATTCACAGCACAGAAAGTTCCGTACGTAAAAGATAGGACCAAACCGAGTCAAGCCTGTATTCAGCATGAGCGGGATATGTCTCTTTACACCTTGTCGTATTCCCGCCTTCACCCAAACGACGCCGATTAGCCGGAGAACCACGCCCAACAACTGAAGAATTACACTCAACCGAAGAACCTCGCTGCCCATCAGCCGAAGAATCACGCCCATCGGTCGAAGAACAATAACCCATCAACCGAAGATCTACGTCTATCAACCGAAGAACCATGCCCATCAACCGAAGAACCACGCTCATCAGCCGTTCTCTAGCCTGCCTGTTCCTGAAGTGTTGCTTGCACCTATGAGGGTCATTGTATGCGTGGCCAGTACTGTGACGTCATGGCGCCCATATGGTGATGGGCGCTCATGTCCTGAGTACCTCCTGGCACCTGGATGGGCACGGACACACCGGGCGAGATCAGACCTGTAAACACAAAACCACAAACGAATTAGTTTTCTTTTTCTTACACAATGCTCGATTTGTTTACACAACATATGTTATTTCTTTTAGTTTTTTTTCCTTCTTTCTTTCTATACTTATTTGCTTACTTATTTGCTTACTTATTTATTTGTTTATTTACTTATTTATTCATTTAAATGACACGATTGAGAAAATACATACATAAGAAAAGGAAAAAGCACAGAACGAGATAGCGAAAAATTATAAAGGATAGAAAAATAGAAGTAAAAGAAGGTACACGGAAAAACAGACAGTGCGTGTGTGTTTGTGCGTGTGTGTTTGTGTGTGTGTGTTTGTGTGTGTGTGTGT